CTTAGGACCAAGAGTAAAGACAGAGGGTTCTGTTAATGGCTTCATTCAGAATAGGGATCAAATGTGGCCGCGGCTCAAATGTAGCGGCCCACTTGAATGCTTGTTGCGTGATCCCCACAGAAAATATATTCAGTGTTTTATCTTGAATTAAGCGACAAGTGGGTCACCATATTTGATCTGCGGGTCAACTGTTGTAAATATTCCTCTGTGAAAGCGTGCACGTCCCCGGAAAGGATCGAAACAAAGTTGTCCAGCTGTGAATATGGGGGACCTACATGTACATGAAAGGAAGGCCAAAGCTATGTTGTCGGTTCTTCGTAGATGAAAACATATTTATTTATTTATTCTGTGTGTGCAAATTATTTAATTAAACAGAATATACTCACGAATAATCTGACATATTCCTTCATTGCACCTTTTTATTGTCATACTGTGGGACCATTCAGAATGAGAAGAGCCGAGTTCTAGCTGATTTTTATGCTGTATATGAAAGGAAGGCCACTTAGTCCTGTAGGTTTTAAAAATGCCTAAAAAGACAACAAAGAGAAAGAAGGGGAGAGGGGGAAAGGGGACATGCCAAACTTATTATTTATAGATCTACCGAAGACGTAGGTTTATATAATTTGTCATATTATTAATCTTGCCTTTTTACGTTGCTGTGCCGCTGTTTTTATAAAAATTGCTGGTATGGTTCAAATATGCAAAGAGGCCATTGATGTATTAGTCTTGGATGTCATATGGCACACTTTATATCAGACGGGTTTTGATTGATCTCAAAATGTGTATCATTTGGTGCAAAAGATGTCATGTATTTGGTACCCTGAGTGTCAGATCAACGTAAAACCTAGCTAGCTAAAATATACCTTGTGATGGAGTCGCTTTTACTAGCTCTGACGAACAGCGACAATCTGAGGGCGTTCTTCTTCAAAATTTTGCCTGGGGTGTTTCCATATTTGGAAGTCACACGTTACAGCTGTGTCCGCCTGGATCCATAATTGGAAGTCATAAGTCTCGTACGTCACAGGTTTGGCCGCCTGGAGCTGCCTTTCCCGCCTCGCGCTGAAGTTATCTCGTGCAGACGAGACGAGAAGTAAAGTGCCTGACGAAGTTTGAATTGAAAATATCTTGCAGTCAAAGGTCAGTGCCACAATACAGGCAACATTCTGCTTTAAAAACTGATTTTGGTGTAGCCATTGCGCAGCCCTTATAGTGGTATCGGGCATACAGTGTAGCTGTCAAATTTGGCACACGGCAAGCACGTGTATTGTGCACGTGTATATCTCAGGACTAAATATTCTTTGATAAGCACAAAATACAAAAACATTGGATATATCTTTTCTTTTCGAAGAATATTATTCATTGTTTCACTTTACATCTCAAATACAGCAAATAAATTTAAATAAAGCAGAATTAAATATGTTTTACGTTTCATTTTGGTCTGATGACATTCAACTGCAGATTCACTGCGGAGCAGTTCTATTTATTTGACGGAAGTGTAACATGGCCGCTGTTCGCTAGAGCCGGTATTGTTGATATGGGTTATATATGAAATCAAGATCGAGCTGGCAATACCGGAATCTAGAACCTAGGGTAGTATTTGGTGACAATGGGGTAGTTTTCCTTTCTGATATAGTTACCTTCAGCGGCCTATCTCGGTATCTGCCCTTAATTTCCTTAAAAAAGAATCTCTAGAGCCTGTCAGTGTGCTTTTGTTATGTACCGTACTAGGATTAAGAATGTGTACATTTACCCCGTGGACCATTTGAAGATTACACTGCGATTAATGCGGTGGAAAATACAATAGAGAGAGTGTATAATGATAGGGTCGCTAAACGATTGTTGACGGCATATAGTAACTAGCCTAATCCCCTGGTCGCCTGTGTAGCCGCGCCCCCTTTACTTATGTAAACAAACGGTCTCCCGTAGCGAACTATCCTTTTGTTCAACAGCTTCGCGCGTGCAGCTGATTATGTATGTAGTGACATTATAGCTAACTGCATATAAATTTGTGCTAGCTGTTATTTGATTCATTCTTCTGTGTCGGATGTTGTGGATCAGCCCACTGGTTCGTTGACTTATGTTTTTCTGAAGATTGGTGGTGCAGATTTTGAGTGCTTAATTATTTACCCTCCTTCTAACAAGAGAAAGGGGAAGGGAGATAAAAAGATAGAGTGTCAAATGAAACGGGTAATGAGTAATACATTACATTAAATAAAGGGACTCGCGGTGGAAGAAACGATAGACTGTTTTGCATCAAGGTATGCCATTATAATCCGACATGGCCCATAACATGATCCATAAAATGACTCATTGTTGTATGCCTTATATTTGTGTCGACTTATATTTTACTCTCGTTCATGTCGTGAAACTATTTCCTTGAATAAAGTTTTGCCTGTATAAATTAACTTTGTGACATGAAGTAATTAATAAAACGCGCCTGTTGAAAAGGGGACATTTCGTAACTAATAAAGGTTCAGAAAAACCAGAAAAATATCGTCGCCGTTCGTCGCCGCTACCTTCAGGAAAGCGTACCCTTCGCGTGGATCACCGGCATTTTTGATTATCTGACAAATTAGGGCAATTTACGTTTTAGCTAATAATTCTGAATTTACTAATATTTTGGACTAAATTCGATGTCAGATTCATAGCAATGACGGAGAGCCGCCAGAGTAACTGTTTAATTTTCTAAACTGATCAAACTAGAACGCGTGGCGATAAAATGTGTCGCTAGATCTTGTAAACACTCAGGGAAATGCACCTAGTCACTATATTCAATGTGCCGTCACTTCATTGCTTTCTCGATTTCATTAATTGACGATAGTAATTGCAGATAACAAGGAAGAGGAAATGCTGAAGACAAAACAACGTCGGGTCTTTGTGTGACTTTCTCCCTAAACACTTTTTATGTTGCTTTATGTTTTTTCGGGGAGCGCGGGTAGACAGTTTACGTCAGGTGATTCGTTAAGGTCGAGGAGTGTTTCACTATCAAATGTGTAAATCATATATGTCATAAAACACTTTAAGAAAGTTTTTTGTTACGATCTGCAACATTTGTTCATTTATATAGCAAGGCAAAGTTAAAGCCAGAGGTAAATAGAACGTAATACCATAATCCTCCTTGTCCATTTATTTAAATCGTATCAAAACGTTTGATACACAATGTTCATTAAATTCATAATTTTGGCGATTTATTAAATTCATATTGGTACATAAAAGTTTAAGATTAGCATAAGTTAAGCAACAACCAGTATGAAGAACAACACCCTTTTTAAATGAGGCAAGCCACCCTCTTCACACTGATTATAACCTTGAGAAAGACATTATGCAACTAAAGGCAAAGGAGTTATGCAAAGTTCTTTCAACTCGTGTGTGAATACAACACATTCTTTGTCACTTTTACAAGACAATGGAGGCGAGCAAGTAGAGTAATTACAATATACAATAAAAAGGACATTAGTATAGAAAGCTTACTTCGGGTCAGCCCTTTGCTTGTTCGAATGAAAGAGATAGATATCGCGCCGCGACTCCCTTTATTAAACCTTCGTGTGTTTGTGTAAAANTACCACTTAAGTAACGGATGCCTGTCAGAGGAAACATGAGGACAGCGATAACACCATCACAGATACACATGTACATGTATGTCAACATAACGATTTCATGCGGCTCCAAACTATAATGGTGCCTATACGCTTCATATGGACATTTAGGTGTGGGTCTTTCTTTTATGAAGCCAATTGTAACATTCAGAACCGATTCATATTAAATTTATCTTATTCCGAAGCCTGATTAATGAATTCCCCGTTTCATGAATAATTCAGCCTTTTCCAATTAGATAATTACAAGGGCGACGGCTTTTCACTTATTATAGTGGATCAAATTAAACTGGTTTCAGTGCTGTAGAAAAAGCATGTGGATGTAGCACATTATCTCAGGAAGAAATAAATTACCCGATGAACAGACAGCTCGAACAACGGCACGCATTACCCAATGTTTGGGTGAGTAGGGGCACCAGAAACAAGCCAATGAGATTTTATGAAATTCGTGAGTTTGCACAAAAGAGACCGATACAGTACTTCCGTGGAATTATGCAAGTCATGCACACCACAATGCACTGCCCACTGGCTGTAAAATATTAAGACGCTACCACAAGAAATAAATTCAAGTTCCTACATGCTTTGCAAGAATCCCGCCTCCGTAGCGCAAAATCTTTTTTACGATCGAACTTCTTCAGTAATACTGGGCTCTTTCTAGCTAGTTTATTTACTAAATATTTTTTAGTGGCGTCAATATAAGCATAACAGAACCAAGATTGTTCAGGAGGAAAATTAATTTTGTGAAGTATACTAGATTAAGATATTGGACATCCTCAAACTATTGGCATTAACGTACTACAACATTGAAGACTGCATCATAAATACGACCATTTCTTCTACTCTATTTTGTAAGAGAAGGAAAAAACAATGGACGATATTATCAGATGAAGATAATCTATACCAACAAAACATGTTTTCGTATAGTTCTCCGTGTGAATTGTATAAAACGGTATACATAATAATAATAATAATAATAATAATAATAATAAAAATAAAGCCTAATAATAATACTCAAGTTGTCCTGAATAAATACAGTCAATACATTGCTATTGGTAATACATTATATTTGTTCAAAGTCTACATTGCTACAATGTATACAGTCCAGTTAAAAAGTACCAGTAACCGATTCCATCTTTCTCTCAACTTGTCGTGCTGCCGACTTTGTCAAGTAACAGGAAGAAACGGAACACGCTGGAAATAATTTTAACTGTTGACTTATCATCATCATGTATCATTAAATAGAAAATTATATTAAGTATCATCAATAAGAAAATATCCGAGTATTATCAAGTTTAACTACATGCCAACTTCAACAATGCATTATGTGGTCGAGGTAGTGACAAATTAACTAACTGATCCCGTCTATTCCGAGGTCTATTCCTCTTTTTGCTTTTATTTTTTTTTACATAGACAGTAATACTAACGTAACAATATCACCGAAGTACTATTTCGTGTGTGTGCGTGTGTGTGTGTGTGCGTGTGTTGATCACCACGTGACCTGCTCTTTTGAGACACCACAAAATTTGGATTACAAAATACACATGTGTGACTGGCGGAGAAAATCTGAATATCTGAATCTAAATGCCAGTGTCAATATTACTGTCAACTGAATGGCAATCTGAATGTCAGCTTTGCCCTTTTTAGTTTCAGGTCTTTACTAATCATCGTCTTCATCGTCATCATCAGGCACAGGAGGCGGGGCGTAGCTCTGCGCAGTGCTGCCATCTACCGGTCGCACCATGGCGCTGCTGCAATATCTGACTGTGTGTAAAGGAACACACTCTTCTTCCATCGGGAGAGGATGTTGATCCCCTTTTCTGTGAGGAAAAGAAATGATAACGGGTACGATTTAACGTAAGCTCAACAACAATCACGACAAGATACAGCAACCAATCCTCCATACGCCATATAGGGGAGACAGGGGCTAGTTGGACCCCGGGGTAAGTTGGCCCCCCATCAATTTATGAGAAAGTAACTATGGGGTAAAAGAATTGATCACATCATTTTGTAAAATGACCGTATCCAATAGTGCTAAGAAAGCGTCAGCAGTGAGTGTAAATGAAATAATATACCATCTTAAAGTAACTTTATTAAAGAGACTTGATTGGGGGCCAAGTTGGGGGCCAACTTACCCCGGGGTCCAACTAGCCCCGGTGTCCCCTATGAGTAAAGTCTTACTGTAGCACTTAAAATATCTTTGTATCTAAATATTTGCAGTTTTAAGTTGATGGCCACATTACTGCACATTCAATTCCACGAAAGAAAATCTTCACGTAGTTGTTAAAGCCTTTTGTATGTCTGTACAGCTCTGAAATTTATAATACGCTTATACGATTTTTATAATATTCAACGTGTGTTACCTGGCGACCATTCGGAGAGCAAGGACAATCTTCTTGGAAAAATTAAGGGGGAAATTGTCTACGCTGTGGAAATCTTGATTGGTATGCCCTTGTAATGTGGTGGCACCGGCAGAAATCTTAAATTCTGTGATGGAATGCACCTCATCGAGCCGCTCTCTAATATGGGAGATGTCTTCCGGAAGAATATCCTCTTGTCGATATCTTTGCCCGGGTGTGCTGCTTCTCAGTATGAAGTGAAAATTACCGTAAATTCATGTAGCTCAAGATTTTTAGGATTATTAATTCTTTTTGGTATAATTAAATAGGCTTCTTTAATGGAGGCTTTTTTTTTACTTTATTTCTCTGTGGAGTATTTGGTTTTTGCAGAATTTTTTAGATAAAATAATAATAATAATAATAATAATAATAATAATAATAACACAGAATTTTAATTAAAATAACAGAACAACAAAAAATCATATGTTCAGTCAATCTCTATGGTCACCATAACTTATAACAATTGAAAAAATATTTCAAATATTCCATCTCTGTGACTTGTGTAGATACAAATTCCTCACCTCAAATCTTCACCAATACTGTCACCACCCCATTCAGCACTGAAATGATGAAACAGGAAATGCCTATCTTAATCAATCAGTGCTGTGACATTTCCACAGAAATTCACCTATTGAACGAAGGTAAAAGGGGCTTCTTTTCTGACAAAGGAAATAGTTTTACACAACGCAAATATTGCCGATTAAAATAAACGTTTCTTTAGATACCATAAAGTGAAAATCTATTTGTTGAACCAAAGAAAAAATTAGTAAATTAAACAGAATTTTAAAAGGGGGAAATGATGAAAGGAAGCACTGGATACATAGTGACTTAGTGGGTTTACCGTATGGCAATTGTAAAAATACTTACAGTCGACTATGAGACATATCTGGTCTGGGCATTACTAAATCCTGTTGATGAGTTGCCACATCTGAAAAGTTAAAAAAAAACATATTGGAGGGCACTTTACTTCAAATGACGGAGTTTAGACAATGAGATGCAGGAATCGCACTACATTGCCAATAATGTGAGTGTTACGTAATGCATTTGACGTGAGGCTTTGTTAAACGTGATCGATCAAATACCGACTGCAGACTGTATTACCATGGAATAATGGCTGAAAAGTGTTAAGAAGTTTATTTAAATCAAGTTTTTCTTGACAAAAATATTTGCCTTATTTAACTGCCTAATAATGATGACAGTAACCTCACAAGGAATGCGTTTTAACACTTTTTAAAAGATGCAATTTTCAGTCTGTCTTTTATAACAGAAACCTGCAACAATTGATTCATTTCAACATACGCGAGGTGCTATCAGAGCTTGATTTATTTCAAGTGTACACTTACATGTAGATGTGCACGTAGGTTGCAGACAGTAAAAAGTTATTTTTGTAATGGGTTGTGATGTGCTTTAAAGAAGCATGTATATAATATAAGATTATCATGCTGGTCGGCTTTTGGAGATTATTTTGGATCTAAACCACTACCTACTTACCTATCAGGTTGATGACAGACTGATTTTCAATGCCCAGCTGCACCAGGCACTTCCGTTCTTCTGCGAGAACACGCTCAGTGCCGCTCACACAAAAACCATCCACCTGTTGGCTGGCTAGCTCGCCATCGGTCTCCTTGGGATCTTCAACGACTTTCTTAAGGACATGATACAGCGTGGCGCATGTTTCCGTCTCCACCTCTCTAGTCCATGTCTTGTTCGGACTGCTCCTGGTAATGTTCAAGGTTACCTGTATGGGTTGGGATATAATTACATCGATGACCGGGCACCTTGCGGTCAAGAATTTGAGAGGTAACTGTTCCCTGCCACGCACGGTCGCGTCATCAATCAGCTGAAAATGAAAAGATGAAAAAGACTAAGAAAAGACACCAGCACGGTAGCAAATTTTATCTCGAGCCTTGTAAAATTGAGTGCTTCAAATAGATTTGCACTACTTTCTCTTGTTTAATAATACGTTTATTTTCTTTTTTCATTTCGAGCATTATATATGCTATACTGATAACCTACGGAGTTATAAAAGCTCACAACATCCTCCTCATCTATAAGCAGAAGGCAGACTTGTGTTTGATCTTTCCCAGAAGTCTCCTGAAATACGATAAAGAAAAATTTGTCAAACATGCAATAGCTTAGACGAAACAAGACAGCAAAGCTGTGAAATGCAGAGACACACAACATGAAAATAACAATGGCAGTGCAAAAAACGGAGTTTTGGTCAAATTTGACCTGAAATTACTTAATGCCTTACACCATAATCTCCACCAATTTTAATTACGTACTATAGTTAATGTGGACATTCAGAACATGTACATAGCAAAGAGTTTCAATCCGATGGGACCTTAAAGTCACACCTTGAAATTGCAAATATGTTTAAGAAATCACAAAGACGCATAACTTAAAAAAGAGAAACCAAGCTTTATTTTATTCTTAATGTTTTTATAAATTTGAGAATAAATGTAATACGTTGTGTTTACGATAATTGGGACATTTTCATTTCTGATTCACTATAACACAACGGTTAACAGGGCAATTGAGACCCGTTTTTAATTTACGGCTACCAGTAATGTGGTCATTTAGAAGTAACGAGCACAGGGCTTGTTCAATGTCATGCCTTAAGTAATAGAATCTATTCTGGCTGGTTTTCGACGGTGATGGCGACGACAGACACAGGTGATGGTTATATATACAGACACACCGTGCCTGTGCACTACGGTAATGTACCGTGAATTTTGAACGGCTCGTAATAACTACAAACGAGCTACCGTATAATGTGTTATAGTTACATGAATCTATTTATCAATATCTATTGCTATACAATAAAACAAATATAGGATATTTTGCGTGACTGACACACATTTTAAAACATGTAATAGACGACCCCGTTAGTACAAAGCATCTTATTTTCAAAAGAAAAAAAAATAATAAAATAATAATAATAAAATAAAATAAAGAACTTATAAGTTATATACCTTTCCCTTGGTTTTTATCAGGTTCTGAACTGACTTTTCAACTTCAAGCAAGGTGGTTTCATCACATAACACGTGGATGCTGCCAAGCTTTTCCATTGTCTTGTGAGTAAGAACTGGAACTTCCATTTTTCTAGGTATTAATATTAGGCTCCTACTAAGGCCAAGATCCCTGAAAATAAAAGCATGAGTAGTGTTTACCATTCATGACAGATCCACTGTTCATGTCAGGCAAGGACTGCGTGCGTCCTATTGACTGAACCAGTTACCATATGCTAATTTTGATTTACTATTATAGAAACTTCACTGAAAGCTTAACTTACTATGTAATTGAAGGTTAATGAATACCTGAGATGTCGGTTGCTTTGTAGCTTCTCCCCTCTGTCACGTATTAAAATGAATGAGGTATCCAGCTTGCAGGAGCTATGGGTTTTAAAGTCTACCATCACTTGTTCTCTCAGGTCCGCGACGGTCTTATAAGCCTCGATATTCACTTGGAGGACCAAAGAACACCCTGGCATTCGAAAATGAACATCGAACGTGAACATTGTTGGTTTTACGATGACTTCTGACCCATCTGAAAATCCCTCGAACGCGATGTAAATGGTTTCGTATAATTCGTCGAAGGAATACTTGCTCTCACACACCCCTCTCTCTTTGTGCTGGTGTACCAAGGCAACGCCGTCCTCCTCCATCAGGCGCCGTGACACCAGGTCATTCTTCAGGTCAGAGAGAGTAATGGATGACTTCACGACCACTGTGTCTTGCCGACCATCAAACGCGGTCACTCTGAGTGACATGTCCTTCTCAATCACCACGCGTGCTCTGTAAGCTAAATTTTCTCGATATGACGAGTCACGTCGAGTCAGAATCTTAATCGCCGGGGAGCTGTCTGGACCTAGATTCAGTGCCTTTTGAACCTCACTCTTGAGATCTTGGCTTTTGAAGATGACCAACGTGACCAGTTTGGGAGGATCAGACGCTTCAATCAACCCTTTCAACAAAAGTGCCGTAAAGCTCCTTTTCAAGTTTGAACGGGATTGCTCCCTGGTGACTCTTACGTCCTCGGGACTGGGAGCGCCGTGCCGCGAGACGACCTCTGCAGTAACATCTGAGGAATAGCCACAGGTGAACATCTCGGTGGTGACGTTCTCTGCGTCGACAGGATTAATTACGCTAACCTCATTAGCGATTTCTCTCACCAGGACAACTTCGCAAGACGACTCTATCCAATCCCTGTATAGGTAAATATATAAAAAGCGCTACAAATTCATAACCACCTAATCCACTTGAAAGAGAGAAATAAATAACTGATCTGTTTATTTAAATCCTCGATCATTTTAATTGGACACTTAAGGTGTTTCCTTTTCGTCGTGGTTTCCAAATTTAATCATACAGCCTTGCCTACTAATTAAAAAGCGTGCTTTTTGAAAACAAAACGCTGGTCCCCTACCTGTAGATGGAAGAAATGGCCCTCATTTGAAAATGATAATGAGTGACAAACTGGTCTGCGAAGTTGACTACGTAGGCTTCGATATCTCTCTCAGCAGATGGCACGGAGCCAGCGACTTGTTTCACCAGATCCAACAATGTTTGTTCTGGTCCCAGGTCGACAATGAGGGGTTCAGACAACACTCCTGCATAATTCTGGTGGCAGACCTTAAACTGGAGATGGGAGGAGAGTAAACTATATAAGGCATATGGAACAACATAGTGTCTGACATACAAAAACGTTAATAAGTACAATCAGGGCAATACACAACATTTAGGCCTGCAGGCAACTGGATGTAACTTATTAGTACATTTACATATAAACTTGTTCTGCAAAGCTCACAAAAATATCTAAAGTAAAACCCAACACTTATTTCCAGCCTGAAACAAGTTCTGTTTAACAATAGATGATGGGCAGTAAGGATGAAAGAAGGAAAATCAAAGGCAGTCGTTGGTTACCCACCGTATACACCAACTCTGGCGTGAAGGTGCATTCCAACAACCCATTCTCTCTTTTCTTCTTCTCGATCCCAGAATCTTCTATCTTGGACCCTTTGGAAGTGGAATAGAACATAAACCGACGGGCCAGAGTCACCGGTCTCTCAATGGAATATTCCTCCTCGCCATTCAAAGCAAACATACCTGCAGTATAAATAAAATCTTTCTGAAAGTAGTTTTGTGACACTCTGTGATATTTTAATAACAAAATAAATAGCTTTTTAGTATGATAAGAACGTATGTTACAATAAGATATACAAGGGTACTGGTGCGTTCAGCAAGGTCAGTATTACCTCAATCAATCAAATGAACAAAATAAATAAGATATACTATTTAAACGGGCATTTTGGAAAATAAATAGTTTTAACTTAAAAGCTATTTGTCCCTGTCAGTGTTTCATACCTATTAATACATCATCTATCTTGACTTCAGCACGGCATCTGTGTTTTGTTCCATTTCGTAGCTGTAGACAGTAATTATACCCACTCCCCAGTTCGACGTATTCTCCTTCTGCTGTCTTAAAATGGCGTCCGCCTTCCACTTTGACTCGATAGCCATCAATTTCGAGGAAGTTTTTGGATGCAGGTTTGTACTTTGAAGGAGCTAGGTCGAAAAGTATCAAATACATCAGAAACATATATCAATTTGTTAGGATTATGAAAGAGCAATAGAAATTTGATTAAAGCGGTTTATAAAAAAGCTAGAAAATCTTCCCAACGTGTTTCTGTTACGCACAAGTACACATATTAACTCTTACCCAATCCTTGAGCGAGCTCTTGTATATTGTCTTTGATAGTTATCAATTCTTCCACCTGCTCTTGCTGACGGTTGGCCTAAATATACAAATATATATCCACAAAAATATTGTGATACGATCTAGTGCCAGTATCATAGGAACCTTTGTAACTATTTACTCATATAACAACCAAGATGCAAACTGCCAGCAGATGAGGATATTCTGTTTTTTACTTCCGTCTGGTACAACTATATGCACTATACTAATGTATGCATAAATCATAGCGCCCTATATGTCAAAGAAAAAAAAAATATCAAGTTGTTTTAAGTGACCAAGCTATGTATTACATATTGGAGTTACCGGTAGAAGACGTAGAAGCATTCTCACTTACAATTTGATCCAGTGTCACCTTCATCTCCAGCATGCTGCTAGCCTTCTGGTCCAACTTCTGCAGCAGCTCACTCTGGTGGACACTTTCAGCAAACATGGCTTCAGTCAGCTGCTTTACTATCTCCTCCTTCAGCTGGTCGAGGTTTTCAACGCGGGCGGTGGCTTTGAGAATCTTGGCAATGGCATTTTGGTCGGGGAGGAGGCACTGTATGATATACAATTCTGCCACCTCCAAAACCTAAAATTGAGTTGTGTGGAATGATTAAATAGTGGAATCTTATTGAAAAATAAAGATGGATGACAAAATTTGTGACATGTAATAAATTATTTGGGGTGCAAACTATCATGGCCAAGGCACGAATAGTTATTTTGTTGTCTGCACAGCGATGTGGATTTATAACAAGGTCAAATTCAATACAATGACTTAGAAGTTAGAAGAGGGCACATATACTCGTTATTAAGTTTGAGGAAAAACATACATTTATTGTATTACTCACTATAATATAGTTAATTGTGAGTGTACCACAGGTGTTTATTGTGTTGTAAACTCTATTACCTCCACAAGCTGCTCCAACAGGAAAGACTGTTCTTCGTTTTGCGCCACCAGAGAACCACCGACAATCACCTCCACATTTCTGATCACTTTCAGTAAGTCCATAGCCTCGGCTTGCAGCGTGGCGTTGGCTTTGAAGATTCCGTATACGCTGCTGATAATCCCCAGGGCAGTCTTGATATAGGGGAGCTCGTCGCCCAATCCGATCGCACCCTCTAAAATATGTTCGCCCACGTTGGTGAGACCAAATTCGTCTGCTCGCTTGAGTGCTTCGGAAAACTTATCGACTACAACCACCACCTTGAAAAAATACTTTCTTCATTAAAAGACAAATTGAAGATTTGGCATTCATGTTACTTACGAAAAGCGTCATTGAAAAGTTTATTTAATCTAATATATTAGGTTTACAAATCCGCCCTGATTTGACAAACATTCTGTTTTTACATAACTGAAGGTTGGCGGGGAAGTTTGATTCTGAATTTTAATCTTAAGATCACTGATTGAAACAATTGGGTTACACAAACTATACCTTTCTTACTTCACTTTTTAAATGCTTACTTTTTCCTGGTTTGAAACTTCGTCGCTTGGTCTGTCCACAATATCTATGCCGGTGCCTCTGCTGAACAGTTTCATCATCCCCGCCTGGCGCTTCAGTCGGCGGAACACCAGAGCAAGGACAGCAGCGTCTTTGGCAGATTTCCACAAGGCGACGAAGTCCTTCGTTTTCTTTTTCACGAGGCAACTTTTCATGCATTTGGTAGTCTGTCCAACCTTTTTGAAATATTCAGGGTCTCTATCTTGTTGGCTGTAATACATGTTGAGCAGGTTTTCGACAACTTTCAGTTCCCCTCCCAGTATAAGCGCCATTTCAGAGAGCTCTGGAGTCAAGTTTTCTGTAGCCACGGCGTTGTACATTTTGAAAATTTGTTTGACATGCTTGAAAGGTCTTTTCAGATCACAATTATCCTCGTTTTCAATAACATCTTCTGTTTCGGGCTTTGGCTTTAGATCCCCAATGTCTGGAATGGTTGATGCCATCGTTGGTGTTGCTGGTGTTAAGATGGAGTACAGTTTCTGTGAGACAGGGCTTACAACGTAAAGGTCCTGAAAAAGAAATAAAAAGGTAAATCGTGCCACATGAAAAGAGAGAGAGAGAGAGAGAGAGAGAGAGAGAGAGAGAGACAGAAAGAACAAACACTTCACACTGTTTTATTTTTGCACAGAGAGTAAATAGGCGACAAAAAAAGTGCTGTATATTTATTCATTTTTTAAAAACGCGAGGGATGTATCGTTTCACTCATTCACCACACCGTTGAAGTAAAGTTACCGTTACCAATTCAATCAATAAAACTAAATACCAGTTTTATTATTGTCGAATATGCTAAATAAACGAAGAAATATAAAATATGTTATATACACGGCCCGTTGTCACCTAGTGCCCACCAAGCATCGTTAGATGCTATTCTAAATTTTGTTCTTAGTCAACATTGAGATCTATCTGCAGCGAGTGTGATTAGCGTAGAAAGAGATACATGTAATTAGGCGACAAGCCAAGTAGGCGGTAAAGCCCGTCATTTCAGTAGCTTAAGTTCACCAGCAGGTCAAAGATATCAGGTGTCAACCCGTGCAATGACCCGAGGTTGGATATAATCATACATGGAAGTCAAAATTGACACTTTGAAAATAAAATTCTTATCTGCAGGAAGTTGCAAACACACCCTCAGTGACCATCCATTACTCGGGTATTACATAATAACCCTAAGATACCTGGGTCCTAGGTTGTCCTTAACTCCATTTGTCTGTTCGTCACCAGTCTAACTCAAAGTTTTTTTTTTTTTTTTTTTTTTTTTTTTTTTTTTTTTTTTTGGGGGGGGGGGGATTTTGATGAAATTTCCAGGATAAGTCAGAAATGGTCCAACTTAGGAGTGATAAGATTTTGGTGATGATCCAACATTTAATAAACGGTTAATCATTAGTTAATTATTTGTCTTGGTGGGAGTTAGTGCTCTCAGAACTTTTCTAGTTATAATTATTTTGAATTGGCCCCCATTTCATCACAATATTCCTATATTACTCAAGAAAATGTAAACTTGTTTCCTTAGTTTCATATGCATATTCTTCTTAAAAAAAGTCAGCCAAGCTTTCGAAATATTCACTAGTCATGTTCACAAAATTCTTTACTGGGTGCTACCCCATGAGGACACTGACGGGAAAGCCGAAAGTCTGAGTTATTCCTTTCCTGTCATGAAATTCCAGAACGTTGTCCCAATCACCTGGCAAGCTACACCGAGTCTGTCTGTTAAGCCTGTATAGGACCATCTTACCACTTATCGACTAGAAAATAAGCAAGACCAGTGGCCACGCACCGCCATCATTCTGTGTTACCAATCGATATCGTGACCAGTAAGATAGAAAGCACACAGTGCTAAATTATTTCATTGGCAGGATTGTCGATATCGTATAATATTCATTTCCAAGAACTTATGGCCATGAATGTGCGTTCCTTACTGGCGAGATAGATAGGCTGGAATCAATAGCAGACGGTAAGATGTGCACTTTATGTATTGCAGCGGAGCAATGGAGAAAATAGTTAAATAGTTTTTTAATCCGTCACCTTCAATAGAAATGTTGGAGCATGTGCAAAAATAAAAAAGGCAACACATGACGTCATGTGCTACTACAATGTATAGGCTAGTTTTAAATACGCCATGTAACTTCTAACCTTATGGACACCATTTAACTTTCGAAAACTCGTTAAAAAATCGCTGCATGCCATCGTTCACATGATAACGTAACTTAATTGCTGCTGATTAAGGACAATATTAGTTGTCCCCAAATGATATCTACGTGGTTTCCTAGCACCCTGTTTGCTACAGGCTCGTTCTACGACTGTTGTATAGCTCTGCCAGACCTGAGGATTTTTCTTCTCTCTACCAGAGGCTAACAGAGTGATGACGTCAAATCTATGGACAAATTTTTGCTGGGCTGTACAGAAAAGTGCGTATAAGTAGCTATAGATGTATCTGTAAATATTAAGTGAAAAATCAATCTGAGGTCCTGGTAGAGGACAGGGGCGGATCCCGAGATTTTTTTCTGACAGTCTTCAAAATTATCTTTCTTGATCCATCCTACATTTGACCGTCTTCTGACAAAAAAAAATTATATGCCCGTCAATGTAAACTTAAAAAATATGACCGTCTTTCAGAAGACCCAGAGAGGGCTTCTGTCCGCCCCTGGAGGGTACATGTATATATTTCCGGATGATTATATTTCCCCGCGTTTCGAACGGTATAGCGGGAAAATGTATGGATGACACGGGTCAGTGAAAATGGGGACAAATGCTCAATATCTGTGCAATCATTTGATTGGTCAATCATTGGTTATGCTTAGTAGCTTTGAGGGGGTGGGTCACTTTCTTGATGGCGACCAAACTAAACTAGTAGTATTGACATTGAATATGTTGATTATAACATTTGTTAAAAACAATGGGTACACAGAATTTCTAGAGTGGATTTTTACGGTCTAAAATGTTTTTATTCTTAGCTTTTCTCCTAGGATGTCTTGAGTTCAAAGAAAAGTTGTTATAAAGGGGGAACGTTAAGCTCGAAACAAAGAGAAACAAATATTAGTATATATTACAGTGAATGGAAGAATCATGAAAATATTGATAATTTTACCGAACAGTAATTCATATTGGTAGATTTGTAAAGCTATGTCTGTGTCATCCAAACAATCAGATTTACAAATGTACTTTTTTCTTTTTATGATAAATAATAATTAGGTTCCAGCGTCTTGGTCGGGCCCCGCAAATGTTATATGTGCGCTATTTGGTATGTTTTGATTAAGTGGAGTTAACACAACCGGTTTTTACTGCACTGTCCTGACCTATGTATGTGTGATTATATGTATTTCCCTTTGAAAGGCTGCTTCAAATGTGAGTGATATGGATGTGCGTTTTAGGGGTGGGGAGGGGGGCATCCTTTGCATATTTCATGTTATGTGCAAGGCAGGGTACGGTTTATTGAACCCCTCCCCCATTTAAGCGGTCGGTACAATGGACTGGTTACCGGTTATCTTGGCAGACGCGCACGTAAATAAAAGTATCAGTTCATTATTGTGCATTAAATAAAAGTCACCTAAAAGTACAAAGTGGGTCAAGGCTTATATCCGGGTCAGTCGAATGTTTTTATTGTTTTTGATGAGCTGCGTTGTCTACTACAGCAGTAGAGATCCTGGACGAATTAATTTTGCTTGTCCACACTGAGAGGGACCTGTTCCCTCGGATGGTATTTTAGCTGTCATTAGACCACCACGTTGCCTTTGTTTTCGATCTTACTTAAGTATCTAGCATGTGAGGTCGAAAACTGAGGCAATCCCGGAGCAACAGTGGTAGACTACCAACCACCGACTAGTGATATGGATCGAGCATTTGTGACAAATACTAGTAGACCACTGAAGCGGCAAATTGAAGATATATATTTGCAAATATACACTACACTACATATTGCCCTCGACCTACACTTAAATATATAGCCCATTATACATTATATATGAATGCATATAAGCGCACATAGTGCACTGGTATAGTGTCAATACTGGACAATTTCTCTACTTGAAATAGGCAACGCTGACAGAAATGAAGTCGAGTGTTTGAAAGGAAGATACATAAATACGTTACCTCACTTCCTCAGCTTTATTTTGAATCTTCAGAACAGTCTCATCCGTGTTACAGCCTGATGTCAGTGGTTGTTGAATGGCGAACTTGTTTAAATGCGCCAGAGAATCGAAATGGCACTTTAGTATTGGTACGCCGCTAATATCATTTCTCACACGGACGAGTCTAACTTCGTGGACCTGTCTCCCCTTGTTATGTCCCTCTGTGTGCGGATTGTACAATGTATAGGGACGTGTTTATCCAAGTGAAAATTGACGTCCTAAAAGCAAGGGGAAGTCGGATACATATAGGAGTGACTTAATCACCGAGTGCCCTGAATAATGTAACTGCAAGATGAATAATCCGAATAATGCGAGCAATGTCATTTTCTATAGTATTCTTTTTGGAAGGAAGGATTAATCCAGATTTTGCTTGCATTTTCATTTTGGATTATCTATACAAAATTCTTTACCACAACTTAAGAGTTATATGAACTTGGCGCGCGCCTCATAAAATTTTTGCTATAAGATAATTTTCTCATTGTTTGGGCGGAAACCATGGATCTAGAACCCCAAATATTATCTAAGATTGTAGGCACCAAGTTGTTTCATTTCCCTTATTTTTAACGTCTTTTACTTGCTGACATTTCTTAACGAAGTAATCAAATAATTAACGGTCGACGTTCTAGTCTGCGCTCATTTCTCGATAAAATCAACCGCCAGAAGGTAAATTTGACACGAGAGATATTATCAAAGGGTTTGCCATTCCCGTGATACTGTAGCGTCCGAGTACAAGAATGAGTTTCCGCTTGTTATATAACTTGCATTCGGACGTCAATCAGTTATGTACGCGTAAGTATTACCAGTGAAAATCTTCACACTGCTGAGAGGGTCCCAATTGGGGGATAGGGGGACCAGTATTGATCACACTTCACGGGAAATAAAGTCATCAAATCACATATTATTGTAAATAAAACTTTTTTCGTAACTCATAGAAAATGCAAGTCCGGCGAGTTGTAAATCACATATTTATCGAGTAGGGGCCTACAATAATTTCGTTTCACGAAGGGCAAATAATAAAAAAGCTGCATTCACATGCCATGGACGTGAGCTGCTTCACGGATCATTAAAGGACATCCGACATACCGTCAGAATGGCCTGAACGGAACCAGTCCACCCCCTCCCCCCTCCAGGCTGTGCGTCTCTCGTACAACCCTGGTCACTTTCATACAGAGGTGAGACGCCTCTTTCTACACCACGCTGAGGTGAGACGCCTCACGCAGTACGCTGTACACGGCTACGCACACTCACTCCATCAGATATAACTATAAACTGATATATCAAATCACTCCTTTACACAAGCGAAACGGAGGAAAATCCAAGGGAATTAGAGCATTAGCTCTCAATCCCGAGCGTCCCACAAACAATCTCTAAGCTTTTAACTAGGGGCGCTGTCAAAACACACGTCCCAAGGGGCCCAGCCTTGGATCGTGTTATTTTGATTAGAGGTAGTTAAACCAAGGCATGAGCCGACCACCCCCAAACATCTCTCACGGTGTAACCATAGATAAGAAGGTCATGAAATTGTCGGCAATGTTGTAGAATTATAAAAAGAGAGCAATGTTGGCGTTTTTTGCATTATTTTCAGACTCAAAAGTTTCAATAACAAACGATAAGGTGTTCAAATCCATTAATAGAAACATGTACTGCCTCCAACGCGTTTTTCTCATTTACAACAGCATACTATTATAGCATATATACTTTAATAATATTTTGTTCGGAATATATTTACGATTTTATTGCTATATATCCAAGGCAACAGCAAAGTTAACGTATTTTAACGTTCTTATTTCTAAATCAAAATGGAATAATGTAGCTTATGAAATTCTCCGTCTCTGAAATGCTCCTTTTGTGTTTATTTATGTCATCATTCCATTATGACTGCAGCTGAGATCTCATTTGCCCAATTATACCATCCACGTATTGTTGGCCAGTGACGCAACGGAGCTTTACTCGGGCGTAGTTACGACGATCAGTTTTTGTCTTGGTGCAACGGGCGTAAGCAGGGGGAGTAAGCCTGGCGAACGGACGCCAGGCGTTGCGGTTTACGACAGACGTAGTGTAAATTTACGCCCTGTTGGTGCAACCGGGCCCAGTACACCAAAGGCAACAGCCAGCCACCCTAAGTTGGCGATCAGGAGAAATGCATCTTCCTCCTGTGGTAGGTAGTATATGAAGATGTACAGTATGAGGCAACACAAAGCTATGTTTACTATCATCCATGCCAAGGTAAGCGGTAAAAAATAGGCCTACGGTCTGCAGTGTCCATGAGTCGGCAGATTTGCTGGTGCCTTTTTCTGTACCATTTTAAGTCACAAGGACTGGAGCCTGTAGTGTCATTATAGTTTTTTATCGCCAACTTAAGATTTATGTTGAACTCTAGAAAAGCTTTATACATGACTTCAGCAATCGCAAAAAACGCAACGACCGGCAGAATCCAACAGCTTAACATGATAAATTCAAAAGCAATCGAAAATGACTTAATTATGTTCATTTCTATCGTTTGATTGTTATTTACGAAAAAAAGATGAAATGGAGCGATCTGAATTTCTAAACTATTCACAGAGCCACAAATACTATCATACTGTACATCTTGTACGCAAAATTAAAGGGATAATAACTCTTCGTATGAGGTCTATATTTCACAATAAAAACATTTTGAATAACTCATAGAAATACAACATATTCTGTTTTACGACAAAAACATGAGTAATAGCTATTATTCTGATATCTGACCTTGTCTTAAGACCACGTGACCTCCATTGATGGCTATATTCTGTTATAATCTCTTTAGAGATTTTACCAAAAAAACAAACTTTTTAGAAAAAAAAAACAGGGACTATCTTTGAATGTAGAAATGGATTCATTAACCATTGGTAAGTATGGGAAAATTGTTGTTTACTCCAGGAAAATTTATTTTTTTGGCCAAAACGAAGAGTTATTATCCCTTTAACCAAGACTATTACCCAGCTCACAGTGCGAGGGCAGAATACACAATGCATGTTGTGATGTAAAACTTCCCATTCTGCAAAAAAATTCTGCAAGCGGTTCTTACGGCATGCCATATACCAAACCAACACACCAGTTGCTGTTCCACGTCATGTAAGCGACTTTTACAAATAGATGGTAGCCCATAGACGGTACGGAAAGCATGGTGAATTGTAAAAGGTAGTTTGTCCATATTGCAACTAGCACTACAGTGCTGTACACTCTCAGAGTTTTATTCTACCATATGATTGTTCTACGTCGACTGCGGCGTTGGCGCTTGCTCCACTCCATGAAAAATTGGACACGCTATTCACCGCTTGATTCTCGTGGTAGAGCCCCACTAATTTCAGAGATATGATAAGCGGGCGAAAAGGTTTTTGAAGCGGGTTTTTCAAAGCCACGTGCACGTTTTCAGGAACGTTTCGTCCCGTCTCTGAGGATCCGACTTTGCCTTGTTGCAGCTGAGGTTCCATTCTAATACCAACTTTGTTGATCTCTAGCATTGATATTTTCCTTCTCTGTCGACACTTATCATGCATGTGAATGCAATCCAATCCGTTTTGTTCATTGTTGGCATTCAATACATCACGTGATGTAATCGTACTCATTTTAGTACGTTAAGGTTGGTTCTCTCTCTTTGTTGTTGTGTCCTTATAGGTCACAATTATTCCAATCATCTGTTATGTTAAGGGGAGAGAACAATGTTTGGTCAATATGCAATCATACTAAGTCGTACTAGTATGTTGGCTCGATCTTGGATAACGTTTGTACTTTGATACACCCGTTTCACATGGATTCGTGGTAAGGCAAAAAAAAAAAAAAAAAACTCCACAGGAAATGAATTAACATCATCATTTCGTACTATTGATTTTCTTGTATTTTACCAATGAAGACCACTTACCGGATGCCTGTCAGAGGAAACACGACGGCAGCGATGACACCAGATACAGATACATGTATGTCAACATAACGATTTCATGCGGCTCCAAACTATAACGGTGCCTTTAAGCTTCATATGGACATTTAGGTGTGGGTCTTTCTTTTATGAAGCCAAATATACCACGAATTGGCTATTCAGAACTGTTTCATCTTATTCCGAAGCCTGATTAACGAAATTCCCGTTTCATGAACAATTTAGCCTTTTCAATTTAGATAATTACAAGGGCGACCGCTTTTCACTTATTATAGTGGTACAAATTAAACTGGTTTCAGTGCTGTAGATAAAGCATGTGAATGTAGCACATCATCTCAGGAAGAACAAAATTACCCGATGAACGGACAGCTCGAACAACGACACACATTACCCAATGTTTGGAAGTGTAGGGGACCGGCAACAAGCCAATGAGACTTTATGAAATTCGTGAATTTGCACAAAGGACACCGATGAAGTACTTCTGAGGAATTATGCAAGTCATGTACACCACAATGCACTGCCCACTGGCTGTAAAATGTTTAGACGCTACCACAAGAAATAAATGGCATTCAATACATCACGTGATGTAATCGTACTCATTTCAGTACGTTAAGGTTGGTTCTCTCTCTTTGTTGTTGTGTCCTTATAGGTCCTTACATGCTTTGCAAGGATCCTGTGTTCGTAGCGCTTTTTTTTTTCTTACGATCGAATAGCTTCAATAATACTGGACTCTTTCTAGCTATTTTATTTTCTAATTATTCTTTTTGTGGCGTCAATATAAGCATAACAGAAACAAGATTGTTCAGGAAGAAAATCAATTTTGTGAAGTATACTAGATTAAGATATTGGACATCCTCAAACTATTGGCATTAACGTTCTACAACATTGAAGACTGCACCATAACTACGACCATTTCTTCTACTCTATTTTGTAAGAGAAGGAAGAAACAATGGACGATATTATCAGATAAAGATAATCTATACCAACAAAACATGTTTTCGTATAGTTCCCCGTGTGAATTGTATAAAATGGTATACATTATAATAATGATAATGATATAACCTAATAATGGTACTTTAGTTGTCCTGACTAAATACAGTCAATTCGTTGCTATTGTGATATATAATATTTGTTCAAAGGTCTACATTGCTACAATGTATACAGTCCAGTTAAAAAGTACCAGTAACCAATTCCATCTTTCTCTCAACTTGCTGTCGTAACTAAGTAAGTGGAAGAAACGGAACACACAAGGAAAAAACCATGGACGATATTATCAGATAAAGATAATCTATACCAACAAAACATGTTTTCGTATAGTTCCCCGTGTGAATTGTATAAAACGGTATACATAATAATAATAATAATAATAATAATAATAATAAAGCCTAATAATAATACTTAAGTTGTCCTGAATAAATACAGTCAATACATTGCTAGTGGTAATATATTATATTTGTTCAAAAGTCTACATTGCTACAATGTATACAGTCCAGTTAAAAAGTACTAGTAACCGATTCCATCTTTCTCTCAACTTGCTGTCGTGCTGCCGATTTTGTCAAGTAACAGGAAGAAACGGAACACGCTGGAAATAATTTTAACTGTTGACTTATCATCATTATGTATCATTAAATAGAAAATTATATTAAGTATCATCAATAAGAAAATATCCGAGTATTACCAACTTTAACTACATGCCAACAATGCATTATGTGGTCGAGGCAGTGACATATTAACTAACTGAATCCTTCTATTCCGAGGTCTATTCCTCTTTGTGCTTTTTTTTACATAGACAGTAATACTAAGTTAACGCAATCATCGAAGCACTGTTTCGCTCGCGCGCGCGCGCGCCTCTGTGTGACCACTAAATTCGGATTACAAAATACCCGGTTGTGACTGACGGAGTAAAATCTGAATCTGACTGTCCGTGTCAAAAGCATTGTAAACTGATTGGCAATCTGAATGTCAACTTTGCCCTTTTTAGATTCAGGTCTTTACTAATCATCGTCTTCATCGTCATCATCAGGCACAGGAGGCGGGGCGTAGCTCTGCGCAGTGCTGCCATCTACCGGTCGCACCATGGCGCTGCTGCAATATCTGACTGTGTGTAAAGGAACACACTCCTCTTCCATCGGGAGAGGGTGTTGATCCCCTTTTCTGTGAGAAAAAGAAATGATACGGTCACGATGTAACATAAGCTCTACAGCAATCACGACAAGATACAGCAATCAATCCTCTACACGCCATATATTAGTAGAGTCTTACTGTAGCGCTTTACATATTGCAATCTGTGTATCTAAACATTTGCGGTTTTAAGTTGATTGCTTCATTACTGCACATTCAATTCCACGAAAGAAAATCTTCACATACATGTTATAGACTCTTGTATGTCTGTATAGTTCTGAATTTTAAAATACACTTATGCAATTTTTACAATATTCTCATGTGTGTTACCTGGCGACCATTCGGAGAGCAAGGACAATCTTCTTAGAGAAATTAAGGGGGAAATTGTCTACGCTCTGGAAATCTTGATTGGTATGCCCTTGTAATGTGGTGGCACCGGCAGAAATCTTAAATTCTGTGATGGAATGCACCTCATCGAACCGGTCGTCAATATTGGAGTTGTCTTCCTGAAGCATTTCATCCTGTGGAACACGTTGCCTGCTTTTGCGTTTTCTCGACCTGAAGTAAAAATTACCTTAAATTTCATGTAGCTCAAGATTTTTACGATTATTAATTCTTTTTGGTATAATTCATTAGGCTTCTTTAATGGATGCTTTTTAATAATAATAATAATAATAATAGTAATAATAATAATAATAGTAACACAGAATTAATAACGGAATAACAGAATATCACATGTTCAGTCAATCACTATGGTCGCGATAACTTATAACAATTGAAAAAGTATTTCAAATATTCCAATTCTGTGACTTGTGTAGATACAAATGCCTCACCTTAAATCTTCACCAATACTGTCATCACCCTGTTCATCACTGAAATGATGAAAAAGGAAACGCCTATCTAAATAAATCAGTGCTATGACATTTCCACAGAAATTCGCCTATTGAACGAAGGTAAAAGGGGCTTCTTTTCCGACAAAGGAAAAAGTTTTACACAACGCAAATGTTGCCCATTAAAATGAACGTTACTTAAGATACCAAAAAGTGCAAATTTATTTGTTGAACCAAGGAAACAATTAGTGCATAAAACAGAATTTTAAAAGGGGGAAAAGATGAAAGGGAGCACTGAATACATAGGGACTTAGTGGGTTTATCGTATGGCAATTGTAAATATACTTACAGTCGACTTTGAGACACATCTGGTCTGGGCATTAATAAATCCTGCTGATGAGTTGCCACATCTGAAATGTAAAAAAAAAAAACATATTGGAGGGCACTCCATTTTAAATGACGGAGTTTAGACAATGAGATGCAGGAATCAGACTATATTGCCAATAATGTGAGTGTTACGTAATGCATTTGACGTGAGGCTTTGTTAAACGTGCTCGACCAAATACCGATTGCAGACTGTATTACCATGGAATAATGGCTGAAAAGTGTTAGTTAGTTAATTTTAATCAAGTTTTTCTTGAAAAAAATATTTGCCCTATTTAATTGCCTAATAATGATGACAGAAACCTCACAATGAATGCGTTATAACACTTTTTAAAAAATGTTCAGTCTGTCTCTTGTAACAGAAACCTGCAACAATCGATTCATTTCAACATACGCGAGACGCTATCAGAGCTTGATTTTTTCCAAGTGAACACTTACATGTAGATGTGCACGTAGGTTGCAGACAGTAAAAAGTTATTTTTGTAATGGGTCTTGCTGTGCTTTAAAAAAGCAAAAAAAAAAAAAAACTCCTTACTACTCAAAGTGTCTTTCTTCTTAAACAAACCTTTTAAAACGAATATTTTTCTTCGGTATAAGCTGAAAATAATATGAACATTCCTAACTTAAATTTGCCATATCTCGCACATTTTTTCCGGTTTCAAAGTATTCGTGTCATGCAAATGCATGTACATAACATGATCACGCTGGTCGGCTTTTGGAGAGTATTTTGCACCTAAACCACTATTTACTTACCTATCAGACTGATGACAGACTGATTCTCAATGCCCAGCTGCGCCAGGCACTTCCGTTCTTCTGCGATAACACGCTCAGTGCCGCTGACACAAAAACCCTCCACCTGTTGGCTGGCTAGCTCGCCATCGGTCTCATTGGGATCTTCAAAGACTTTCTTAAGGACATGATACAGCGTGGCGCATGTTTCCGTCTCCACGTCTCTAGTCCATGTCTTGTTCGGACTGCTCCTGGTAATGTTCAAGTTTACCTGTATGGGCTGGGATATAATTACATCGATGACCGGACACCTTGCGGTCAAGAATTTGAGAGGTAACTGGCCCCTGCCACGCACGGTCGCGTCATCAATCATCTGAAAATGAAAAGATGAAAAAGACTAAGAAAACACACCAGCACGGTAGCAAATTTTATCTCGAACCTTGTAAAATTGAGTGTTTCAAATAGATTTGCACTAGTTTATCTTGTTTAATAATACGTTTATTTTCTTTTTTTCATTTCGAGCATTATATATGCTATACTGGTAACCTACGGAGTTATAAAAGCTCACAACATCCTCCTCATCTTTAAGCAGAAGGCAGACTTGTGTTTGATCTTTCCCAGAAGAAGTCTCCTGAAATACGATAGACAAAAATTCGTCAAACATGCAATAGCTTAGACGAAATAAGTCAGCAAAGCTGTGAAATGCAGAGACACACAACATGAAAATAACGATGGCAGTGCACAAAATGGGGTTTTGGTCAAATTTGATCTGAAATTACTTAATGCCTTACACCATAATCTCCACCAATTTTTAATACGTACTATAGTTAATGTGGACATTCAGAACATGTACATAGCAAAGAGTTTCAAGCCCATGGGACCTTACAGTCACACATTGAAATTGCAAATATGTTTAAGAAATCACAAAGACGCATAACTTATAAAAGAAGCCAAGCTTTATTTTATTCTTTATGGTTTTTATAAATTTGAGAATAAATGTAATACGTTGTGTTTACGATGGTAATGCACAAAATTGGGACATTTTCAGTTCTGATTCACTATAAAACAACGGTTAACAGGGCAATTGCCACCCGTTTTTAATGATGTACTACCATTAAAGTGGCCATTTAGAAGTAACGAGCACAGGGCTTGTTCAAAGTCATGCCTTAAAATTGGCATTGTTGGAAAAAATTTTTAAACTTCATTACATCAAGAAATAGAATCTATTCTGGCTGGTTTTCGACGGTGATGGCGACGACAGACACAGGTGATGGTTATATATACAGACACGTCGTGCCTGTACATTACGGTAATGTACCGTGAATTTTGAACGTCTCGTAAACTGCAAACGAGCTACCGTATAATGTGTTATAGTTACATGTATCTATTTATCAATATCTATTGCTATACAATAAAACAAATATAGGATATTTTGCTTGAGTGACACACATACTAAAACATGTAATAGACGACCCCGTAAGTACAAAGCATTTTATTTTCAAAAAAAAAAAAAAAAAAAAAAGAAAAAAGAACTTAAATACCTTTCCCTTGGTTTTTATCAGGTTCTGAACTGACTTTACAACGTCAAACAAGGTGGTTTCATCACAAAACACGTGGATGCTGCCAAGCTTTTCCATTGTCTTGTGAGTAAGAACTGGAACTTCCATCTGTGTAGGTATTAATATTAGGTTTCTACTAAGGCCAAGATCCCTGAAAATAAAAGCATGAGTAGTGTTTACCATTCATGACAGATCCAATGTTCGTGTCAGGCAAGGACTGCGTGCGTCTTATTGACTTAAACCAGTTGCCATATGCTAATTTTGATTTACTATTATAAAAACTTCACTGAAAGCTTAACTTACTATGTAATTGAAGGTGAATGAATACCTGAGATGCCGGTTGCTTTGTAGCTTCTCCACTCTGTCACGTATCAAAATGAATGAGGTATCCAGGTTGCAGGAGCTATGGGTTTTAAAGTCTACCATCACTTGTTCTCTCAGGGCCGCGACGGTCTTATAAGCCTCGATATTCACTTGGAGGACCAAAGAACACCCTGGCATTCGAAACTGAACATCGAACGTGAACATTGTTGGTTTCACGGTGACTTCTGACCCATCTGAAAATCCCTCGAACGCGATGTAAATGGTTTCGTGTAATTCGTCGAAGGAATACTTGCTCTCACACACCCCTCTCTCTTTGTGCCGGTGTACCAAGACAACGCCGTCCTCCTCCATCAGGCGCCGTGCCACCAGATCATTCTTCAGGTCAGAGAGAGTAATGGATGATTTCACGACCATTGTGCCTTGCCGGCCATCAAACGCGGTCACTTTGAGAGACATGTCCTTCTCAATGACCACGCGTGCTGTGTAAGCGAAATTTCCTCGATATGACGAGTCACGCCGAGTCAGAATCTTAATCGCCGGGGAGCTGTCTGGACCTAGATTCAGTGCCTTTTGAACCTCACTCTTGAGATCTTGGCCTTTGAAGGTGACCAACGTGACCAGTTTAGGAGGATCAGACACTTCAATCAACCCTTTCAACAAAAGTGCCGTAAAACTCCTCTTCACGTTTGAGCGGGATTGCTCCCTGGTGACTCTCACGTCCTCTGGACTGGGAACGCCGTTCCTCGAGACGACCTCTGCAGTAACATCTGAGGAATAGCCACAGGTGAACGTCTCGGTGGTGACGTTCTCTGCGTCGACAGGATTAATTACGCTAACCTCATTAGCGATTTCTCTCACCAGGACAACATCGCAAGACGAGTCCATCCAATCCCTGTATAGGTAAATATATAAAAAGCGCTACAAATTCATAACCACTTAATCCACTTGAAAGAGAGAAATAAATGACTGATTCTGTTCACTTAATTCCTCGATCATTTTAATTGGACACTTATGGTGTTTTCTTTTCGTCGTGGTTTCAAAGTCTAATAATACAGACTTGTCTACCAATTAAAAAGCGTGCTTTTTGAAAACAAAACGCTGGTCCCCTACCTGTAGATGGAAGAAATGGCCTTCATTTGAAAATGATAATGAGTGACGAACTGGTCTGCGAAGTTGACTACGTAGGCTTCGATATCTCTCTCAGCAGATGGCACGGAGCCAGTGACTTGTTTCACCAGATCCAACAATGTTTGTTCTGGTCCCAGGTCGACAGTGAGGGGTTCAGACAACACTCCTGCATAATTCTGGTGGCAGACCTTAAACTGGAGATTGGAAGAGGGTAAACTATATAAGGCATATGGAACAACATAGTGTCTTAATACAAAAACTTGAATTAGTACAATCATGCCAATACACGACATTTAGGCCTGCAGGCAACTAGATGTAACTAATTTGTTCTGCTTTCCATTCTGAAACAAGTTCTGTTTAACAATAGATGATGGGCAGTAAGGATGAAAGAAGGAAAATTAAAGGCAATCGTTGGCTACCCACCGTATACACCAACTCTGGCGTGAAGGTGCATTCCAACAACCCATTCTCTCTTTTCTTCTTCTCGATCCCAGAATCTTCTATCTTGGACCCTTTGGAGGTGGAATAGAACATAAACCGACGGGCCAGAGTCACCGGTCTCTCAATGGAATATTCCTCCTCGCCATTCAAAGCAAACATGCCTGCAGTATAAATAAAAATCTTTTTGAAAGGAGTTTTGTTACACTCTGTGATATCTTAATAACAAAATAAATAACATTTTTGGTATGAAAAGAAATTATGTTACCATAAGATATACAAGGATACCAGTACGTTCAACAAGGTCAGTATTACCTCAATCAATCAATTAAACAAAACAAGCAAGATATACTACTTAAATGAACATTTTGGAAAATAAACAGTTAAGCTATATGCCCCTGTGAGTATTTTTTTTACCTATTAAGACATCATCTATCTTGACTTCAGCACGGCATCTGTGTTTTGTTCCATTTCGTAGCTGGAGACAGTAATTATATCCACTCCCCAGTTCGACGTATTCTCCTTCTGCTGTCTTAAAATGGCGACCGCCTTCCACTTTGACTCGATAGCCATCAATTTCGAAGAAGTTTTTGGATGCAGGTTTGTACTTTGAAGGAGCTTGGTCAAAAAATATTAAATACATCAGAAACGTACATCAATTTGTTTGGATTATGAAAGAGGAATAGAAATTTGATTTAAGTTGTTTATAAAAAAGCTATAAAATCTCCCCAACATGTTTTCGTTACTCGCAAGTGCACGTATTAACTCTTACCCAAATCTTGGGCGAGCTCTTGTAAATTTTCTTTGATATTCATCAATTCTTCCACCTGTTCTTGCTGACGGTTGGCCTAAATATACAAACAGATACATCCACAAAAAATACTGTGAGTCGATCTAGTTCAAGTATCGTATCATATGAACCTTTGTAACTATTTACTCATATAACAGCCAAGATGCAAACTGCCAGCAGATGAGGATATTCTGTTTTTACTTTTTGTTAGGTACAACTATATGCACTATACTAATGGATGCATAAATCATAGCGCCCTATATGTCAAAGAAAAAAAAAACAAAATATCAAATTGTTATAAGTGACCAAACGTAGAAGCATCCTCACTTACAATTTGATCCAGTGTCACCTTCATCTCCAGCATGCTGCTAGCCTTCTGGTCCAGCTTCTGCAGCAGCTCACTCTGGTGGACACTTTCAGCAAACATGGCTTCAGTCAGCTGCTTTACTATCTCCTCCTTCAGCTGGTCGAGGTTTTCAACGCGGGCGGTGGCTTTGAGAATCCTAGCAATGGCATTTTGGTCGGGGAGGAGGCACTGTATGATATACAATTCTGCCACCTCCAAAACCTAGAATTGGGTTGAAACTTGTGTGGAATGATTCAATAGTGGAATTTGATTAAAAAACAAAGATGGATGACACAATTTGTGACATGTAATAAATTATTTGGGGTGCAAACTATCATGGCCAAGGCACCAATAATTTAGTATGCTTAGACCCCATTCCCACAGATTTTGATCGATCAATCCCTGTGGGGAGTCTCACTAGGTTACTGTCAGCTTAGCCGGCTTAAGCGTCTGTTCCGCTTACTAAAAGCTGAAAGGGGGTAATTAACTGTCGTGCGCGCTCGGCTGACTGCAATTTAGCGTGAACCGCCAGGGAGTTAGGTCGACCCGGATGGATCAATCTAAATTTCTGGGAATGCACTCTTAGGGGCCTACCTCCACAAGCTGCTCCAACAGGAAAGACTGTTCTTCGTTTTTCGCTACCAGAGAACCACCGACAATCACCTCCACATTTCTGATCACTTTCAGTAAGTCCATAGCCTCGGCTCGGAGCGTGGCGTGGGCTTTGAAGATTCCGTATACGCTGCTGATAATCCCCAGGGCAGTCTTGATATAGGGGAGCTCGTCGCCCAATCCGATCGCACCCTTTAAAATATGTTCGCCCACGTTGGTGAGACCAAATTCGTCTGCTCGCTCGAGTGCTTTGGAAAACTTATCGACTACAACCACCACCTTGAAAAAATACTTTCTTGATTAAAAGACAAATTGAAGATTTGGCATTCATGTTACTTACTAAAAGCGCCATTGAAAAGTTTATTTAATCTAATATATTAGGTTTACAAATCCGCCCTGAGTTGACAAACAGATTCTGTTTGCCCTAATTGAAGGTTGGCGTGCAAGTTTGATTCTGAATTTTAATCTTAAGATCACTGATTGAAACAATTGGGTTATACAGACTATACCTCTCTTACTTCACTTTTTAAATGCTTACTTTTTCCTGGTTTGAAACTTCGTCGCTTGGTCTGTCCACAATATCTATGCCGTTGCCTCTGCTGAACAGTTTCATCAGCCCCGCCTGTCGCTTCAGTCGGCGGAACACCAGAGCAAGGACAGCCGCGTCTTTGGCAGATTTCCACAAGGCGACGAAGTCCTTCGTTTTCTTTTTCACGAGGCAACTTTTCATGCATTTGGTAGTCTGTCCAACCTTTTTGAAATATTCAGGGTCTCTATTTTGTTGGTTGTAATACATGTGAAGCTGGTTTTCGACAACTTTTAGTTCCCCACCCAGTATAAGCGCCATTTCAGAGAGCTCTGGAGTCAAGTTTTCTGTAGCCACGGCGTTGTACATCTTGAAAATTTGTTTGACATGCTTGAAAGGCCTTTTCATATCCCAATTATCCTCGTTTTCAATAACATCTTCTGTTTCGGGCTTTGCCTTTAGATCCCCAATGTCTGGAATGGTTGATGCCATCGTTGGTGTCGCTGGTGTTAAGATGGAGTACAGTTTTTGTGAGACAGGGCTTACAACGTAAAGATCCTGAAAAATAAAAGGGTAAATCACGCTACATGAAGAGAGAGAGAGAGAGAGAGAGAGAGAGAGAGAGAGAGAGAGAGTAAACAGTTCACACTGTTTTATTTTTGCACAGAGAGTAAATAGGCGACAAAAAAAGTGCTGAATATTTATTCATTTTTTAAAAACGCGAAGGATGTATCGTCTCACTCGTTCACCATACCGTTAAAGTAAAGTTACCACTTCAATCAATAAAACTTAACACCAGCTTTACTATTGTCGAATATGCTAAAATAAATGAAGAAATATATAATATGTTATATAGACGTAACGTTCACTTAGTGCCCACCAAGCATCGTTAGATGCTATTCTAAATTTTGTTCTTAGTCAACATTGAGATCTATCTGCAGCGTGTGTGATAACCGTTGAAGGAGATACATGTAATTAGGCGGCAAACCAAGTAGGCGGTAAAGCCCGTCATTTCAATAGCTGAGGTTCACCAGCAGGCGAGAGATATCAGGTGTCAACCCGCGCAATGACCCAAGGTTGAATATAATCATACATAGAAGTCAAAATTGACACTTGGAAAATAAAATTCATACCTACAGGAAGTTGCAAACACACCCTCAGTGACCATCCATCACTCGGGCATTACATAATAACCCTAAGATACCTGGGTCCTAGGTTGTCCTTAACTCCGTTTATCTTCATGTCTGTATGTCTGATCGTCACCAGTCTGACTCAAGTTTTTTTTTTTTCGATGACATTTCCTGGATAAGTCAGAAATGGTTCAACTTAGAAGTGATAAGATTTTGGTGATGATCCATCATTAAATAATCGGTTAATCATTAGTTAATTATTTGTCTTGGTGGGGGTTAGTGCTCTCAGAACTTTTCTCGTTATAATTATTTTGAATCGGTCCCCATTTCATCACAATATTCCAATATATCTCACGAATATGTAAACTTGTTTCCTTAGTTTCATGTAGTTAATACGCCATGTGACTTCTTACCTTATGGACACCATAAAACTTTCGAAAACCCGTTAAAAATCACTGCAGATTCAGATACTTTATTGATTAACGCCGTCACATACAAGGTACAATCAATGACAGCACATGTACTTTTAACATATCACAAACAAATAAATAAAATTATGAGATATAGATATACTGCATGCAATCGTTCACATGATAACATAACTTAATTGCTGCTGATTTAGGACAATATTAATTAGCCCCAAATGATATCTACGTGTTTTCGGGGGCTGACGTTGGTTACTTACACCCTGTTTGCTACGGGCTCGTTCTACGACAGTTGTTCAGCTCTGCAAAAATCCAGAGCTGGTTTTTTTCTACCAGAGGCTTACAGAGTGATGACGTCAAATCTATGGATAAATTTTGGCTGGGCTGTACAGAAAAGTGCATATAAATAGCTATAGATATATATGTAAATATTTAGTGAAAAATTAATCTGAGGTCCTGGTAGAGGACAGGGGCGGATCCCGAGATTTTTTTCTGACAGTCTTCAAAATTATCTTTCTTGATCCATCCTCCATTTGACCGTCTTCTGCCAGAGAAAATTAGATGCCCGTCGATATGTAAACTTAAAAAATTATGACCGTCTTCCAGAAGACCCAGAGAGGGCTTCCGTCCGCCCCAAGAGGGCACATGTATTTATTTCCGGATGATTGTATTTTCCCGCTTTTCGAACGGTATAGCGGGAAAATGTTGTATGGATGACATGTGCCGTTGAAAATGGGGACAAATACTGAATATCTGTGCAATAATTTGATTGGTCAAGCACTGGTTATGCTGAGTAGCTTTAAGGGGCTGGGTCACCATACTTTCTCGCTGGCGACCAAACTAAAGCCTTGGTCACAACCGGACGCACGAAATTTAAGAATTTACGTTCCCTGCGATTTTTTGGGCGTTGCGGAGGCCGTGGAGGTCGTAGAGGAAGCGGAAAGTCTGCTTTGCAAGTCGCAAGGGCCACATGAGGTGTCCTTTCAAGCAGGGACGCTAATTGCAAGGATAGTAGGCTTGTTAAGGACCAAAAAATGGCCAAAGGCTGCATTTTGTAGTACAAATGTCTAACTTGGCATAAATTTTCCTTGGGCCAAAAGAAAATTTTTTATCCAAAGAGACGCCCTCTATCGATACATTAATTAGCATAAATTATGCAAATTAGGTGCCAAAATATATAATATTTCATATTTCCATTAATATTTGGCCTAGAAACATGTATAGATTATCAAACCTGACTAAATTAGGGACAAGGAACCCATTTTTGATCATTTGGAAGCAATTGGTGGCCATTTTGTGCCTCAAATCCAAGATGGCCGCCACCCGCCATTTTGAAAGTGGACATAATTTTGCTATTTTATGTTGAATTTTGAAGCGTTTGGTCTAACTATACTTGATATATATATCGATTCTTACTATTTTGGGGGTGCAAAAGTCATTTTTGATATTGTTATGGTGATAGTAGGTGATTTGAAGGAACAAAGAGGGTGTTTTAAGTGCCTACCAAGATATGTGTGAACGCTGCAAAACCATGGATATTAATAACCC